GGCGAAAGGGTGCAATCGCATACCCCTACAAGGTGTCGACTCACTAACGAGCTGTGAGCCAAATATCGGCAAACAAATGCTGCCATAAACTTCATACGAATCGCTAGCGATTATGCACAACTACTCGATACTTGTACAACTTCCGCCATTGTGTATAGGCATCCACTAACAAAAAAAAAATAAAAACCAAAAATCGGACCGCAATGCAACTCTAACTGTGTCTCTGGACTCTGTCTCTTCCTGTTGCACTTTAATATGATAACAAATTATGGCCAGAAAAACTGCACTAGAGTGGAGTGTGCGGCGCTTTTAATACTCATGTAGTCGCTTGTGTCCAGTTGGTTGCAGTTGGTCCCAAGTCAGCCACATATGGGGAGAGCCAACAAGCTGCATGGCTTTTATGATTATCATGATATACGAGTGCCCATTGTTTTCGGGAGCAGGCTACTAAGAAAGACTCACCAAAAATGGCCAAGTCAAACTGCTGTGCTGTGTAAAATTTAAATGAGCAGCAGCAACAGTTTCACACAACTTGGCAGCCAACAATTTGTTGCCTGCCAGATGCGGCTCAGTTCTTCGCCAATATAAGCCCAACAGACAGACCAATGCATTCTACTGGGCTTATCAGACCACATTAGGTGAGAATTGTGTCACCTAATTAGCGTAAATGAATCAAAAAGGCAGCAGCAGGCTGGCACTTTGCCAGCCATACCGCCTAATCCACCAATCTCAGGTGGCGAAAACGTGACGATCCGTTCACAAAACTGAACCACAAATGTTGCAAGTTGCCTCTTTTTGGGCTAATTTCGTGCGTCACTTGAGTTGCATAGAAAATTGTGGCAAAGCAGCTAAGTAAACGTGATTGGAGCCAAATTTAAGTTGACAGTCAATGTTCGGACTTGAATCGCGCTCTTGAATGCTCAACAGCTTGAGTTTTTTATTTTCTATCAAAAAGAAACCCACGTCTCCCCAACTGTTCTTACACTTACCATTTCCAGAATTCGCATATGATTTATGGACTAATTTTACAAAAAACATTCTCAACTCTTACGCAATGTGAAAAATTGCTCGGAAATGGTGACTATTTTAATATGTACGAAAACTTACTAACTATTCGGCCATAGATCTTCGTTAAGGGTCAACAAAAGCAAGCAAAAAACGGGCAAAACAAAAACAACTAAGACCCTACAACTTATCTGACCATACAAAAAAAACAACTTCTGTTAGTGGCATGTCGATGTCAAAATACCCTTCCAAACAACATATAGGGTATTTTGATTAAAATATTAAAATAATATAGTTGGTTTTTAATGAAACCCTTTAAAATAATATACAACTTTATCAGTTTATATTTTATGCGATGAAAATTATTTACCTGCGGGATCACATAGTTGTGGGGCTCGCAGCAGTGTATAAGAAGTGCAGAAAGTATTGTATTTTTTTGTTTTTCTCGGATTTTCTTTATAAGTTTCATAGTACCTATTATTGTCTATTACTATTATCATTTCTGTGTTAAGCTATACGACGGTTGCCGCGCACATGCCACACTATACTTAGCTACACGTGCGGTGCTCTGTAAAGATGATGATTCTCTAGCTGATCATGATGATCATGGTCAGTGATGGACTGCGTTGGACCACTGGCATTTGTCGCAGTATTGAGCACAAAAGTTCTTGTCATTGGCAAAACGACTTTCACCGGGCTTAGAATGATGCGCAGTGACATCTTTAGGCCGCAAAAATTTCTTTTATGAGTATTTATGGTTTGTGCAGCTTAAAGATGTACGCTAGATAGGCAAAAGGGCAGCGAAAGAATTTCTAATTTAAGGCTGTTAAGATTGAGTGGCCCATCCGCAAGCCTGAGGCTAAGAACCAGGCTATATGTTCAGCTTAAGCATTCCATAATTAGACAATTAAGCGGCCCTGCCCCAACGGGGCTGGCAGTTAACGAAATTGCATCATTTATCTGGATAAAATTTCACTCGAAAAACGGGCCAACTTGTATTTCCGGGTCACACGCACATTTAGCCAGAAAAAGGCACCGCATTGACCAAATACTTACCCCCTCCCCACTCCCCACACACACACACATACAAACTCACAAACAACCAATATGTACGTATTCAATTTCATGTTGGCCACGACAATAAAATTTTGCAGCGCTGCCCAGGGCAAGATATGCAGCAACACTTAAAGGGCCGCGCCGGCCCGGAGGACACAAACAAATTACATACAATAATCAGCTTTAATTAACGCAACGTTTTATCTCTGGAGCGAAGACCCGAAAGGGTTTAGCTTTAGCATAACTTCGTCTTCATTTTTTCTTCTTGCCTTCAACTCTTGGCCCAGAGGGGGCGTTGAACTTATTTGGCAAAAGGCGTTGCTATTGCCACAGCATTCAAATGGAATCTCCACACTTCAGACAATTTATGAGCGGCCCAAAGATTCCGATCTTCAATTATGAATACAACAACAACGACAACAATAAATGCTGCCGGCCCTTTATGGATAAAAGCCATCACAGACAAAGTATGTGCTAAATGCTTACACAATTATAAATGCTCTCAATTATTATTAGATGCTTTGATCGGAACACAATGCACATTGTTTATAAGTATGTGAAGTACATATAGCAAATATTTGATATGGTATAGTCAGAGCAGAGACTATGGCAACACGATTTCATGCCTCTCAAACAAGTGCTATCGGCAACAATTGTTAATCAAGCCTCAATGATCTTTCACAAAATTTTAACAAAGCTCTATCATCATATATGCTTTGATAAATGCCGCCCAAAAAGAATATTTCCAATTATTGCAAGCTCTGTTGTGAACTTGAAATGTTGAAGAAAATCAAAATATGCTTAAAGCTCTTCAACGAAATTCTAAGGTACTAGAAGTACATAGGCTTAAAAGATTTCGCACTGCAGTTGATTTAGTTTACAATTTAAGCAAACGTGAGCGTGTTAAAGAACCCACAAATGCTGGTTTACATACACGGCCATGACACTTAAGCAAAAGGCTCTCAGGGTTCGCGGTGCACATTTAAAATTCAATGCTGGCACACAATGCAAAGCAGAAATAAAATTTTCTCAGCTCATATTTCACCCAGGCTGGGCATAATATTACGCCCAATTTGGCGCTGGCAACGGTGCTGGACCTGGAACACGTCTTGGGCTGGGGCCCCTTGTTAACAACAGGCAGTTACAATGGGACAACGTTAGCTGTTTTTGTTTGTTATACCCTACAATGAAACCTAAGCGGGTATTGTCAACTAAATTGATTGCATATAACGGTAAACAGCAGGCTAGACACACAATCAATTAAATTTGTACAGCAACTTGGCAATTGGGTATTGGCTTGTTTCTAGTATTGGTGGATAATTGTTTGTTAAGAAATAATTATTAACAAGCTTTCGATACTGAGTACCTTTTATTTTAGTACTCTCGATATATATATATATATTTATAAGAAATATTTTAGTAAAATCAATCGATACTATAGAAGATATATTCTTTCCTTTCCCACTTAAATATCTAGCTTGGCCCATTCGCTAGCCTGAGGCTAAGAACCAGGCTATATGTTCAGCTTAAGCATTTCATAATTAGACAATTAAGCGGCCCTGCCCCAACGGGGCTGGCAGTTAACGAAATTGCATCATTTATCTGAATAAAATTTCACTCGAAAAATGGGCCAATTCAAAAGCTTTCTCCCCAGAAAAACAGGGTACAAGAATATATAAATATTTTAAGCCATAGCTACTAATCAATAGCTGTAGTTAGATTTACTAAATTGTACAGGGTATCGAATGTTCGGTTCCACAAGCTCTGTTGGCTGTCTTATTTTGTATGTTTTTGGCAACTTAATCAGCAGGCAAAGGTAAACGTTAACGGATGCTTTAGAATTCACAGAGTCAGCGAGAAGCGAAGGCATGGAAACACGACGAAGCTCAAAGCTTGCGGTCCACGACCCAACCATAGCCAGCTAGGCAGGCAGCCAGTCGGGCTGGCAGGCAGTCAGAGAGGGAGGAAGCCAACAATTCACATCTTGCAGCCAAAGAATTATTGGTAGCTTCTCTTTTTTTTTGGTTTTTTTTTGGCCTGAACCTTAATTGCACAAAGCAAAAGCAGACATATGCGACGTAATTAAAAGTATTTTTCGCTCATTAATTTACAAAGCGAGCAAGAAAAAACAAATGACTTAGGCAACAAACTGACACAAAATCAGCGCATTTATTGGCCATGCAATTTGCAGCTGCTAACGAAAGCGTCGCAATTTTCATTTTCACCCCGAAAGGAAAGTGAACAGCGATTCTTTTTTGGAAATAACAAACAGCCAAATAATGCACCTGCCGTTGGCGAATCGGTTGTCAAATCTTTGAAGCTCATCAACAAAATCGCCGCTGCTTAAAGCAGCTGCCTTTTGTCATTGTCGCAGACATTTCTTGTTGTTATTGTTGTTGTTTTGACGGTGAAATGCAAATTGCCTTTCTCAAATACTTTAACAAAATACTAACTAAATACTTGTAAGTAAATATTTTCGGACACATTTGATGCTTTGCATTTCCGCTATCATCAAATGATGAAGTGCGAATACTTAAATAACATTTGCACTTCCTTGCGCGACACATTCATGTCCATTGTCATAGCTATTCCCATTTTTATTTCCATTTCATTCAGCAATTCTCGCCTTAACTGCTGCTGCTTTCTCCAGATCGTGATGATCATCTGTGCTATACCCAAGTAGACGAGCCCATCAGTATGCGGGGGCCATTGTCGCAGTCATTCATTGAAAGCGAAAGGTCGCCGTGTGATGGCAGCAGCAGGCGCAGGCGCAGTCGCAGCTTCGGCGCAGCAAGAGATCTCTCATCAAATTCAAATTGATTCATTTTGAGTTTATGATGGCCTTTTCTTGATTTGATGCTTTTGATGTTTGTTTACATTTAAAATAGACGAGTTCATTGCTTTAAGCTTTTAATCGTTGAATTTATGAGCTGAATATGCAAATGTTTTAATTGAATTGTTCGATAAAATGTTATCCCACACAATTGGACTTTCGTTTTCACACAGGAATCAATGTATATCAACTTTCTTCAGCATAGGCTTCTCGCTGAGTACCCATAAAGAATATATTGTGAATAAATTTAAGTGTATGCATTTCGGCCGTTACCTTTCTCTAACAAAGCAACTGACTTCGTTTTGGGCTCCTAATTCAGTTAAACTGTGTACTACTGCCGGACAGTATTTCTCTATGCAGTTTTGTAACTTTGTGGAGCATAAAACGCACGACAACCAAATCCGCCTTTGGCTGACCACAACTTTGTGAAGGCCCAATAGAACGTGTGCAAAAACACAAAGAACACAGAAAATATGGAAAATGTGTAACGAAAAAAAAAATGCATAATTATAATTTTCATGTACCAATAACTCAGCTAAGTGTACGGTGTCTAACTTGAGAAATTGATTTTCTTTACGAACTTCTAGATTCCCAAGCCGACCATGCACTGGTCTCCATTTAATTAATGATTTTGAACGTCGTGTGCCCGTTTTGAACTTTTCTAAAGTGGATTTTGTAATCACTTGATGGGCTCTAAAATTATGAATGAAATCAGGCATACGGAAAAAGAAAGAGTACTCCCAGCAACACACACGCGCCGCGAAGAGAGAGTGGGAGAGCGCGCACGCGAGCGCAAAAGAATGAAGCAAACAGCTTTGTCTGACTGCGCCGAGTGAAAAGCTGCACAAAGTCAAAAGCCAATGGTGACTTTTCCACACTCAAAAGCAAACGCAAACTCAAACACGAAAGCAAACACAAAATGCAGCGCACACTCAAAGCGTTTGAGCGGTTTGCTTGTCCGCGCGCTCATTTCTTTGGCTTTCTTTGTTTGGTTTGCTTTGTGGCTTTCTTTCGCTGCGGCCAAAAGCAACGCTCGTCGCTCAGCCCCAGCTCACAACCATTGCCATTGTCAAGGCGAGCGCACGGCCAGCCGGAGCAACTCTCAACAGCAGCAGCAACACCAGCAGCAGCAGCATCAACTGCATCAAAGCCTTCAAACTTATATAACGACCGATTAGCCCGACGTTTACTTTAGTTATTCGGTCAACTCTCGACGGTCAAGTTCGCAACGCGACTCGACTACTTCGCAAAAAAAAAAAAACAAACAAAAAGAAATTTTAATAATACGCACTAAATATATGCATACCCATATTTGCCAGGAAGCGTGTCTTAACTTTCAAGTGCAACTGTAACAACAACTAATCCTACCTAGAGTGCAAAGTGAACGAAACTGTGCAAAGAATTTAAAAAGAAAACAGTGCAACATTTTAAAAAAGAAATTAAAACTCCGATTTTTTTTACAAATATCTCAAGGATATTTGGCGCTGGTGACTTTTGACAACATTGCAAGAATTCTTGTAAATATCAAGTGAGTGTCTAGAAATATTCGTTTAAAATTATAATTGAAAACCACAATTATTATCCTTTAAAATGAAATTAGGATTTTTGAAATTTTTATGAAATTGGGTTCAAGTACTTTTTGTGTCCAAAATAAATCACTATTCATAGACCATCTTCGAACCTTCTGTCAAGTTGAAAATCAAATACCTTAATCTAATCTAAATCAATACGATTTAAAGGAATATATTCTTTTACTTAAATAGTAAAATTCAATTATACTGTGCATTGTTAGGAATCTATAGATTTCAAACAAAGCATTAAGAACTGAAACTGAATTACTTATGAAGCTTTTCATCGGGTAATTTGCTATAAATTAGGAGTATACATATATTTTTTTTTCAACTATAATTTGAAGTGTTTGAGTATTGTTATATATTGGTATATCATATTTTAAATTTAATGGTCTTAGGATAGAAATATGTAAAATTTTATATTCTATAGGATGCCTTTTGGTGGAACCGTCTCAACTAAGCCATGTGGGATAAGATTGAAAAATGGGTTTTAATGCCTTTTTTCTTTTCATAAAAAAATAGGAGCAATCCTTTTTTTTTGTATTCGTATTCCATTAATAAAAAAAATGATGTAAATTATATTAGAACAGTAACAGTTTTTTCAAGGTTTTTTCAAAGATTCAAACAATTTTTTTTAAAGAGATGGAGTTGGCCTTGTGTAAAGTTAATGCACTTGTGGCAGCTGCATTTAAATGCCAATTATCAGCTCATCTTGGAGCACCCTTTGGAGATTTGTATAATGCATATAGATAATCTTGAATTTCTCAGGGCCCCATAATTAATGTAACACAACTTGAGGGCAATTAAAATAATCAAGACCTGTGCACTTTTGATATGGTGTGAAATCCGCAATGAAACGTGTCAAAATGCTAGACTCTTGTCTCTGAGCAAGAGATGGGCAAAGACCACCAGCCGAAATGATGCATTGAATGTCAGATTGAAGCAGCTACTGTCTTAGCTAGGGTTCCATTACCATTACCATTACCCAGTGCCTGCCACTGTCATGAAGATGCCACCGCAACAACAACCTGCGTTGGTATTTAAATTTGCTCACATAATTGCACTGGCCATGACTGGGCTGAGCCGCAATCGCAGTTGCTGCCGGAGTTGGAGTTGCACTTGGAGTTTTAGCTGGAGCCGCATCATCGTCATGATGACATGACAGTTACAACACAAAACCGATGGGTAATCTTATCTGCCGGGTGGGTTGGCTGTTGGCTGGGTTCCTTGGTTAGCCGGCCGGCTGGCTGGTTGCCTGCCTGGCAGCTATTAATTTACGCAGCCTGCCAGTCGCTGTTGATTAGACGAAGCGTGCGCTTTAATTGCCGCCAAATGGGCAAATCTGCAACACGCTCTTTGCTGGGCTCTGGCTTGCAATTTGTCATGTGCATTTAATATTTGCCCAGCTCACAAAGGCCCCACTGTACACAGGCACAGTGAAAACAATTTGCGTTTGTTTGTCCAGCTTGTTTGTTGCAGTTAGCGTTGATTAGCGTGCAGAGAGGCTCAATCGCAGTGCAGGTTTCATTGCAATTACAGCAATAGCAACAGTTGCAACAACGGCAGCAACAGTTGCAGCTGCGGTTTCTTGCGGTGGGCAGTGCCACGCCTCTTGGGCAGCATTTAACGCAGCAGCTGTCAGTCAGCAAAACAATTTCAAATGTCCAAACATACGCACACACACACACACATTAGATTGGACCCACCGCATTTAGGCGTTCTGCTGTGAAATTGAATGAATTGACATTTGGCACAAGTCTTCCTTTTACTACTACCAAACCAGCTGGTAGCCGGAGTTGTCTTCTTTTTTTACTAAAACCGCTTTTCAATAATAATTCTGACATTCTGTAATTTACTTTTGCGGCTGCTGCTGTCGCCAACTAACTAATAATGCTCATAATGACAATCGAGCGGCTAATCAAGTTGTCGTCAAAGAAATCGGCATCGATTCTGAGTAAGAGCCGCAAAATAGTGAAGCGTACGGTGTGCGGCAATTGTCATGATTGATCAAATTATGTTGCAAAAACCGCTTCCGTTTCAGTTTATTAAAGAAAATTGATTGAGTTGCCGGCATAGTAGAAAAAGAATTAACCAATCTCTACTCGAATATGGCCTTTGGGCAAACTTTTCACCACTATTTTTTATTTTATTTATTTCTTTTGCAGTTCTTAAGATCTCGTTTTTTTACCGTTTGCCTCGTTTGCCATGCGCCAAATTTCCGTTTCATTCATTTAAATAGTTGTTTAACTTTTGGGTCAGTTGGTACAACGGTCGTTGCTTGCTTTGGCAATTAGCAATGTCTGTCAACAATAGATGTCTGGGGCCACCAAACCTAACTGTCCAGATCCGAGAGAATCTTTTGAATTTTTGTCGCCAAATGGGTTAATGCTAATTTCGCCCATAACCCAGGGCCAGATTTTCCTTTTAACAGTAGCTAACTTATGCCTAAGTAGCCGATAGTGGGAACCGTTTGATGGAAGGAAACTGACTGACAACAAGAAATTGCAGTTCATTTATATGCAAAAATCGAAAACTGAAACTTTCGTTTTATACAGGAAGACAGCATTTAGACCCTGAACAGAGGTCTGCGATGCAAGTGAAAGCCAGGCAGAACACAAAAGCCAAATATGTAACTATGTATAAACTTCAAATAGTTCGATAACAGCGAGAATAGTTAAGAAACCTTTAACATAACAAACTTGTAATTCCCAAAGGGCTTTAGCGCGTTGACAGATTTGATTAGGTTCGACTAACTGTGTATGAATCATAAGTCAAATATGCAAAATGCATGCCCCCCAATGAGGTCATGCGGGTTCGTTGCCGCCGCTTAAGGCAAATCAGATGGTCCGGCCGTGAAACCAACCCACATTTCAGCTGTCACTCAAGACACGGAACAGGCAGGCAGGAGTTAAAGCTGAGAAGCTGAGAGTGAGGCTGAGACTGAGACTGAGACCGATACTGAGACTAAGACTGAGACTAAGACTGAGACTAAGACTGAGGCTAACTGCTTGTTTGCCACTTGATTGGTTGGCTTCGCTTTCATTGCCAAATGTCTGGGAGCTGCAGCTTCACTTGCTCGACTTGACATGCAGTTTGGCTAATTCATCCAGAAGTGCTGCCCGAAATAATTTGCGGCTGTGTGAAAGTATTTTTTGTTTGTTTGTAGCAGTATTTTGCTTTAGCTTTCGTTTTGCCATTGCTTTATAGTATAGTATTTTAATTGAATATTAATTGAAAAATAAAAGTTTTGCCACATGCAGCAGCAGCATCTGCACAGCTGGCGGCCAAATACACATACCAAATATCTAAGTTCATATCTGGATGCTGTTTTCAAGAGTTTCACTTTTCAAATATCAATGAACTTTTGCCAGCTGAACCTATCCCCGGGCAGGCACACACAATGGCAGGAGTTGAAGTTGTGCCGCCTCCAAACGCCCAACTTAGCGGCAATGACACAAAACTCTACAGCAAACGGCATCACGACAATTTTTGGGCAGAAGCTGCTGCCGCCAACAGAAATTACAAAGAAATAATCGTCGAAGAATTTGACTTTCGCTTGTTGGTGTCTACAGCTTGGCCATAAATAAAAAGGCCCCCCTAAAAGATTTGTGATTGTCGCCGATTAAATGCGCGAAAAATTGCCAACGAAATGCACACAAGAAAAAGAAATAAACGCTTTGGGTGCAACTCACAATTGCCACGACGCGGCATATGCAATGGGAAATGGGGAAGGAGAAGCATGGATTAATGGTAATAATGATGCCTAGTCGTTTGTATTTATTTAAACTTTGACTTTTGGCAGCTGTGGCTGTGCATACGGTCGCATATATCGCATCAAAATGCCAATAAAAAAGTAAAAGTCCAGTCAATATCGAACAAGACTTGTTTAGGCTTGGAAAAATGTTAATCCTCTAAGAGCTAAGTTTAAATATCAGATACTGTGTAAACAGAAGATGGAAGTGAGACTGATGAGAACTAAATAATATACAAATTTTATATATAATGCATTAAATACGTACGATCGGATTTCAAAATCTAATGTAAGTTAAATACCAACATCTTTAGAGCCAATTTAGTTACAGATACCTATGTTTTTTGCTATTGCCAGTTTTATGAATCGGAATTAAATCTGTTTCTCAGGCATATCTGATGCCCCGAATTGCTACCCTTGAACGCCTAGGAATATTATTTATCTTTATACAAATTTTTTAACTCTTATATTCAATACTGGTAGCACCTATTTATATTTAACCTCTGACTCATAGTTTTTTTGAAGGGGGAAACACCACTCCAAAAAGGTTTCACCTCTTTCGATGGCATTCAATTTCGCTTTCATAAAACTGACTCTTCTTATATTTTTTGCGCTTCTTGTTAAATTGACAATAATCCAATAAAAGTTAAATGCGCCAGAGTCGTGACAAAAATTCGATGCCGCGGCGTGAAAGCGCCAGCTAACCACTGTGAGTCCAAGTCAAAGTTTTAGTGTCCCGCTTCCCTCCCTCGTGATATCGCATTTAGGCGCTGTTAACATTTTGACATCGACGCGTTCCATTATAAACTTCTCCCAGCTGACCCCCGTGAGCACATTAATAAGCTCAATTTTTTTTAGACGCAGTGTTTAATGCGCTGTTCAGCTGAGCCATTAGTTGGAGCTCTTCTTCTCCTTTCTGAATGCCGCTTGGAATTCAGTTGGCGTTGCCGCTTCTGTTGCTGCTGCTGCTGCCAGGTGCTCGTTGCCGGGGCTGCTGCTGGCAACGTGCCTGCCGCTTGAGACTTCTATTTGTATTGTGGTCTGTTTTGCGGTACCCATGCATGTTGGCACTTGACCGCCTTACGGCTTTGGCTTTGACTTTGGCTTCGAGCCACACAACGCACAAGTATTTCTTATTTTTTTCTCTGTGCCTGTGCCTCATTCTACGCCCATTCAATGGCATTTTTTAAGTAGTCTTCTACTATTTTTTTTTTTTTTTGACCCTAATAGAAAGTGTTACAGTTCAATGTCTGTTGCTTCCGTTGCTGCAAGTATTCAGTTGATTTAAACAAGTAGATGGCTCTTGTTAAGCATGCCTGACTAAAAGACAATCTGTAGCCCGATCTGAATACCCTAAAAACACACACACACTTAAGCACTTTTCCTCTTTTAGTATTGAGAGATCAGATGCAAGCATATGCATTCCCACAAAGCTTTTTCACTAGCAACTTAAATCGAGTTATATAGAGCGAAATTGATAGTTTTCATGATGAGGATACTTAAAGGACCATTATCTCCTTAGCCCATTTTTCATTGATTTTCATTATAGAGTATATAACTATTCTTAGCACCAAGCTGTGACTTTGATGTGTCTATCAGAAAAGCAAAAGTGCAAATCTTGTTGAAAACAGCTAGTTAGAATGCCGGCACTCAATTTGGGCAATTTGCATTTGGTAACAAAAAAGAAAGTTGCTTAAAATAAACTGAAAAACCCAACCAAAAACAAAAACAAAAAAAAAACATTAAGAAAACACAAATATCATGGAAGACATTTCGAATTGCTAGCGGCGCGTGCGTTGCATCTTTAATTGTACATATTTTAAGTTATTTAGCTCGATTGAGCTGAGAGAGCTGGCCAAGTGAAACTGGTCAAGTGTAGAAGTCATTGCGCAGAGTCCTCGCGATTTTAAGCAGCAAATGTGTTAAAATTGGCAGCCTTTTTAGGCAAGTGGCAGCCGCTGTTGCTGCTGCTGTTGCAGCTTGCTGCTGGCCATATTTAATTTCGTTATTTATAAGCAAATTTGCTGCGCTGAGTTATGCCCCGACCAAGGCCTAGCGACACCGTCGACTAGGTCAACTTTCGCTAGCATGGAATGCGAAATGCAACAACAGCAGCAGCAATAACAGCAACAGCAGCAACAACATGATACTACAACTGCAACAGCAACATTTGCAACAACAGCGACATTGCCAGCCAATAATAAAGCAAAAGAAGTGCTCTGGCTGACTGACATTGTCTGACTTGGCTGACTTGGCTGACTTTGGCTTGACTTGGCTGTGATGCTGCCACAGGGAGCTAATAATACGCCAGTCGGGCCTTTTTTGTCCGGCACGAAGTCAAAAAGCGGGTTTGCTTGGATTTCTTTGCCTGCTTCGTTTAAATAGTTGCAAATAAATTGTGTGGGTAGCGACGAGAGATGTACAACAGCAACTGCAACAGCAACAGCATCAGCAACAGCAGCAAGTAAATTACTTCAATGTCACCTGCTGATGATTCAAAGTTGAGATAAGCGATCCAAAAGAAAGAACCTCGTCGTCGTCTTCGTCTTCGTCGACGACGTTGTCTTTGGCTCTGTAGTTGGCGTCATGACGGATATTTTCAGCATTGCAATTGCCTTAAGTTTTCTCTTATAATGAAATTATCGCTGCATCTCATTGTTTGACTGTTGTTGTTCTTGTTGTTGTTGCTCATGCTGTTGCTCTTGCTCTAGCTGTTGCTGTGGCGTTGCGCTATCTGAGATTTTGTCTGTTGCAGCAGTGGTAAAATTATTTATTTAGTTCTCGTTTTCACGTTAAACGTTGTCACACTAAACTCAATTGCTGAACTACAGATGCCTATCGTCAGTCAGGCCACTGATAAGACCAGACACTGGAAATTCAATGCCCGCTACCCCCACTCTCCCACATTGTTTTCCACCACCTTTTGTCGTTTTATCGTGCAGCTGAAAAGCCTTAAGTGGGTTTCTGGCTCAGAACTTACTATTGTACCCGTACTCGTACTTGTACTCGTACTCTTACTGACTTCAAGCTAATATTTATACAATTTTCATTTGTTTGCTTACAGATCACACAGCATATATAAACGAATTCTCTGTTACAAGTCGAGAGTGGGGTGCATTAGATTCCAGCAACGTTTATTTGGCCAACAATAACAATAGCTAAGGTATGTGGAAAGCAAAGATAAAAGGTTATGTTAAGTTCAGAATATGTTACAAGATGCAGCGGTGATGCCAACCAAATAAGAACTAAGAAAGGCAAAACTCTAGGAAATTTGAAATCTATCTTACAATCACCCAGTAAAAACTTGCATTATGCAAGATAAATGATATTATAATCGATAGCGGTCACCTAAGGTCTAGGCGTATCTGATGCTTGCCCATAAAAAGCATCATTTTGACATTATGCAACAGTGCTGTCAACTCCACAGAAATCCAAATCATGCAAATCTTTCGAAATAAATAAAAAAAGGAGAAGAGATGACTATCGTAGGCGTATCTAATAACAATTTACGTTTGGCCGTAATTGCTAATGCCTCGGCTCTATGCAAAAGTGCTGTCAATCTATTGAAAATGCGAAAATTTCAACTTTATAGATACTTCATAGAAAATTTTATGATCAATTACAACTTACTCTTAGCGTAGTCGTATCTGGTAGCATTTAATAGTCAGCTGTTACCACTTTTTATGTTTTCCCATAAATATTTAACAATTTGCCATGCTTAAATTTATAAACAAAGGCGTGCTGACCCATAGACGTTAAGCAAAGCTGGCCAAAGTACACACACACCTTCAAGCTAATCCCAAATGCAAATTGAGTTCTGTGCAGATCCAAGACAAGCTGGTAATTCAAGCTCAGCTTAAAACGTTTTTAGCCAATCTGTGGGCCATCGATAATGTTTATTAAATGCAAACAAAGTGAAATCCGTTTTGGTTAACTTCTTTATTCAGACAGGAAATGTGCGCTGGCCGCATCTGCTTCTGCCTTGACTGCGGCTGCAGCATTCCAGCCGGCTCCAATGCCCGGTGCATATCATCGACCCAGTTTTGGCTTTTTCTTAGCCAACTTGAGAGCAGCAAGCGGCGTGCTAACTGGGCGCTGAGCACAGTGTTTAGTTAAATAGAAAATAATTTGGCGTGGGCCGCTCTAAGATACAGATACAAAAGTAGCTAACAAGAACTAGGCAAAGCATCCGACGCCGTCGCCACCGCCGCCTCCGCTGCCACAAACTAAAGTAATTTCTTTAGAAAAATTTTTGTATACCCTGTAGCCATAAAATGGGTAACAAAAATGGGTATAATCAAGTTGTGTAAATTTTGTGTAACAGGCAAAATGAAATGTCTATAATTATTTTGAGAATATTTACATGCTGTATCGGTTACAACAGTCGATCTGAATCTATCTCGTTCTCTTTTTATGTTACTTTCCCTAAACGATCCTATTAAGCTTACGACACGTTAAGACCATGTTTGGTATATGCTATCATATTATAAACCTAAATGTATCCGGACAGTATCATAAAGAACATATAATAAATAGAAATAATCTAAGAAAGTTATTTCAAGTCAAGAGTTCTATATTTGTCTAATACATATAAAAGCATATATGAGCATGAATGCATGCTAGAGCTTGTTACAGGCTATCTTTTCGTCGAGCACAGTCAACATCCTCTAACTTGGGTTTCTATAGTCGCTCTTTTCACACAATTCGCACACAAACACTGAATAAATTAGCGTGCTATATAAACAATATGTATATTGTACGTATATATAAGGCAAGGCGTAATTGTGCAATGAATATCAACAGAAATGGAGAACTCTAGTGCAGCAGCAGCAGCAGCCTCTGCTGCCACTGCACCAACACCGCAGCCTTTGCCTCTTAGCCAAGATTGCATGCGCCTGCAAAGCCGTTGGCTGTCCCACTTGTGCGCGGCCTTCAATGGTTTGGCGGGCTGGCTGGTGGTGCTGATAGTGTTGGTGGTGTTCCAGAGCCTCGTCTCGTATTCCACAATAAACGGCACGCAGAGCAGTGACTTTAATATTTATTGCGTTTTAAAAGACGCATTGAGAACGGTGGCTTTTGGTGCCCAGAAATGGGCAACTGTTGCTGCCAGCCTATTGCCCGTTGCCTGGTGCCTAGTGCCTAGTGCCTGCCAGTTGGCCATAAATCTCAGCCAGCTTGGCCGCCAATAGCTTTTTATGTGCAAATTATATAATGAGTGCTGCACTTATGCGGGCTACTGCAATTGGGCTACTGGCCATTTTTGGCCAAAGTGTTTGTCTGCTGTTCCAGTTGACCAAATTGCCTCTATGTTTCTCTTTTTTGGCCATGGCATTTATCTCTTCCGTTGGAAGCGGAAGTGCAAAAAAAGTATAAATAAAAATAAACCGCAGCTGAGTCTGAGATATTGATTTTGATTGCCCGAGAGACGATCGGTATGGCGTGTGTGCATGTATGTAATGATGGCTAATAAATCAACAGAGATTGCCTGGAATCTGGAATCTCTGTGAGCGCTGGCCACGTCGTCGGCATCTTTTGTCTGGCATGCAGCGTCTGCATTTCCTGCGCCGCATTGCCAATGCCAACAAATTAGCGCAACGGCGTCGGCAAAGGCAAAATCATAAGGCTAAAACCCCAGCTAAGACAGCAGCGTATAGACCAAGCAACAGTTGGCATTGCGCATAGAACTCGGCACTCAGTCTATCAATCAGTCAATGCAACTGGCTAACAAAACAAATGCAATGGCTTTGTTGTTATTGCAGTTGTTGTTGGCGTTTTTTTTACCTGTTCGGCGAGGCCAATCTTAATGTTTGTGCAACCAAGTGGACACGACAGAAAAAACTTGTTGCACTTCTTGTTTGAGCTGCCGAATGCCGCTTAACCCATCAAATGCCACAAAAACCAACAAACAAAAAAAATTTATATTTTTTTGTCATTGCAAGAAGTTTGGGCTATAATTGATCTTAAGTTGAACCAACGCTCGATCCGAAAGTTGAATATACGTCTGTTAGGATAAAATGTTTGCTCTCATCTGAGACTTATATCTCAAGAGGTGTCCAGAGACAGAGGAATACAGGCAAGTGTACTTTAGTCAAGTTTACTTGACTGCCAGATACCAGCTGTTCACAGTTCCAGTATTTACATACATTCCAACAGTTATACACACACTCAAACATGCAAATACATGGGTATTTAGGAGCGTGCGCTGCCTGCTTTCGGTAGAGATGAAGCTTCATACCAAACTTTATGGTACCAGAACTTTTAGTTTCTTCTATAAATCCTGTATATAGCATGGTTTTCTTATCAAGTTAGTTAGCATATTAAACAAATCATATATTAATTTTCAAGGTTATATCTTAATAGTAGTAGAAATATATATAAAAAATAATAATATATATAAAAAAAAAATATAAAAAGCAGAAATAAATGGAAAAAAAAAATATAAATATATCGCTGTGTAAAAGTAAATTTTTATGGAAATTTGCCATTACTTGACAACTGCCTGATAGTTTCTGCTCTATTGAATTATTAACGTGTATGCATAGAGGTTTGTTAAATCTCTGTAATTGTTTTTATGTGTGTGGACTATAAGGAGGATCGTTGGTCGTCGAACGGTTAAGGCCGAAAAAACTTGTATGCAGTTTGAAAGTTTTGTCGCCTGTTTGTTTTTTATTTTTATTTTTCTTTTTTTTTTTTTGTACATGCTGTGTGCATCTGCCATGCCATGGTTAGGCCAGTTGGAAATGGGTTAATGGCACATTCTAATAGTCAGGCCAGGAAAGTAGGCAGGCCGTCATTTGAGCTAACAAATTTATTAGTCAGCTAGTATGCAGCTACTCAGCTTCAACGTTTGGCGTTGAGAATATTGTTTGCCATGAATATTGCGCTCAAATTGGCTTAAATGCCAAGCGTTGGCAATTAGCTGCGCAGCCGGTGGGTGGGTGGTACAGTGCAACAGTTTACAGTTAGTTTGCGCCATGTTGACAGTTACGTGCACCGCTGCTCAGCAGCCACCTGCAAGTTGCCACCAAGGCAATGGCGTTGCATAAATTAGCCAACAATGTTGAGCAAAGTCAGGCAGCCGCATTGTTGTGGCTGTTGTGGGTTGCGGTGATACGGTGGTGCGGTGTTCGGTGGTGCGGGGGAGCAAGCTGCTGCCGCTGCTGCCGCTGCCACAATTCACAGCCTTTTGTACTTGCGTAATGCATTTTCACGCAATTTATAACAGTTTGTAGAATTAGGTCAGCAGCAGGTGGCCGCCCAAAGAAATGTGCTTAAAAATGCATTTGCATTTGATTGAGTCGTAAATTGGCAACGCACACAGACACACACACACTCACACACTCACACAGATATATATGTATACACACACACATGCGCACATGCTACAGTTAGACATATATCTTTGGCTGTGGGAGTTGCCACCCGTTTCGTCGTTCTTAAAAACATTTATGGCTGCAACTTTGCCGCTTCGACCTGGTTTCAACAGCATCATTTCCAGAAACCGGAGCCAGTTGTTGCGACTTCGGCTGCGACTGTTGCTGCTTTTGCTGCAGCTGATGATGATGCGGCTTTGGCGTGCGCTTTTCAATTTGTTGTCCGCCGTTTCCTACTTCTTTTTTTTATTTTTTTGTGTGTTTTGTGTGTGCAACATTGGGATTTATGTGTGCTGTCAGCTTTTCGGCTCTTCCAGCTTTATGAATTTTACTTTTAGGCCAAGAATTTAGGAGCCGCAGCAACTAATTATACGACACGTGCCAAGCCACAGCGCCACAGCGGGCCATTAGAAATTGCATACAGTTACAGAAATGGAAAAATACACTATTTTGCCAACTGTTTCCATTTAATTTGCCTGCTAGCCGCTAGCTGTCAGCTTTCTAACTATGCATAATGCTATGATTTGAGCCAGTTTTCTAGAATTTTTAATTGTGGTTAAGCGTTTTTTTATTGACTCAAATTAGCGCTCAAGTAGAATTCGATGCCACGGCGAATGAAAGTGTCAACGCTTCGAAAGAACGGCGAAAAACTAGGCTGCAACTTTCATAAAGCTGACCGCGTCGTCGACCCCGAACCAAGGGCCATAAGATAAAGATAAAGGAAAGCGAAAAGTGTGTGGCACACGCTGCACAGCGATACGAGTTGAAAGAATGCAGGCCGTGGAATCGC